ACGGATATCAGAGGCACAGAGATGGCAAATTATTGGCATGAATTCCTTTTAATGTAATAACAATGGAATACAGAAATCATCAGTTAATTTTCTATAAACTATGTTCAGTTTGATAGCTTATCACTAACTTTATCTTCAGTACTATATAAGTATGTAAATGCTTTTAATTCTACAGAATACTAAGTTTGTTATATATCATTTAGAACTTTACTGATGAACACAATGGTATTGTGTTGTATGCAAATTGTTGTTCTTCCCTTGTTTCTCACTTGAAGAAAGTGATGTGTTTTTTTCTTCTTCAAAGCCTTGAATTAGCACATCATGATATTAACATAAAACTCTCACTAAGATTATCTTGGCCATATGGTAATGCAAGGTACCACCTTAGAACTGCCTGGGAAAATTATTAAAGAAGTACACATTTACAGAGGGTTAATTTAATCACACTTTATTTCAATGATTTCTAAACAACAGTGGTGCTTTATTGCAGATGCAAGCTATGCTGTCATAGGTGAAATGTATAGCACCTACAGTAATGTGAATCATTATGAAAACACACAGGTGATACATGTACATGAATCAGAAATGAAACCATATAAATCCAAGCACTTTCGAAAAGTAAATTTTTCCTTTATCTGGGATAAGGTACGATGAAATTATTAAAGATACAAAACATTATCACAGAAAATATGAAAGAAAAGCAAATAAATTGTACAATGCACTATTATTTTGTTTGTGAGTATTTGCTTTACACTGAATAATGTATAACAGTTTATTTTCATGCTGCAATACAGATTGTCATTGTATGGTTGAAATATTGTTCCAAATGTCAGTTTTTACTTACAACTTCAAGAATATTCATGATGAGATTTTGTACAGACTAGCTACGGTTGTGAGTGTTTCATAAACCTCTTTACCATCAAGATATTATTTGCTGTATGCTTTGGATTATTATCTTCCTGAAAGATGAATCTCCACCCAGTGAGTTGTGTTTTTGAGGGAATTGCCTGATAGATCAGAATGTGCCTGTAATTGTCAGCAGTCAGAATGCCATTTAATTTTGTGTAGATCACTGACATTGTTGGCTGAGACACATCCTCAAACTTGTATTGATTCCTCATCATGCTTCACTGTAGATGCAGGGGTAAGAATCTCTTTGTGATCTGCAATTACCCAATTTTATAGACACACTGTAAGCCATTCACAAGATCAATGTAAATCCAATCATATAAAAATTTGCAATATTGGGAAGGGGGTTGAGTTGGAGACTGAAAATGAAATTATCTCACACATACTGCGGGAAATCCTTTGTTACAATTCCTGGAAGTGAAGAGTGTAGTCTAAAAGTCTTCTTGACCAATGGCAAACAGTCTTTCTAAATCAGGGTCTATCTTCTCAGTTGATTGGTGCCATATTAGAACTAGCACGTGTGTTGGAGTCATATTTGTTTTGACATGAAAATATTATTTAAAGTTAATGATGAAAATGCACACAAGTTTCATGAAATTATGAAAGGGGTTATTTTGAATGAATTGTTCTTATCTGAAGAAAAAAAAAATAATGTACTTGAAAGAATTAAATCTTCTGTTATGGAAAATCAATGTTTTTTCTACTGTTGTTAATGCACATATATAGGAGATACACAATATAGAAGCAGTTGTGTCAATATTAACATTAACTCTGCATGGATGCCTAAATATTAAGTTAAAATGCACTACGCTTCTTTTATAAATAACACATTTTCTCTCCTCTTTCCCTGCCTCCAGACTATGGTGCCAATCGTAGTATCAGCTGTACTTGCCGTTAACTTCCAGAGTTTTTCAGCCTAAACTGTTCTCATCTCTGTAGGTATTGTACATTGATTATGGTACCATTCTTTTTCAACGATCAACCAAACTGTCATTGATTGTTGGTAAACAGTTCACATGTATTCATCTCTAAAGAGCACATGGCCCCATCTTCCCTCATTCCACTGTATGTAGCCATATCTCCATTTCAACCTTTCAGTTTGGTTACATCTTTTCAGCAGATATTTTTGAGCAGTAACACATCCCTTTAATACTGTTCTCAAGGTAACATTGACAACTGTATTTAAAGCATGATTGATGGCAAGATCTTTTCTTTACCATCGTCTATCAGATAAGAAACATCCTTTTCTGTTATTAACGGTGTTAGCTTTATATATCCTCATCAGAATCTTGCATAGAGTCTTGCTACAATTTTTTGCATAGAGTGTCCCTGACCAGCCAAAACTTTGATTTCTACTTGTTTGTTGTGTTATTTGTCTTCTGAGAGCCATAGCTGGATTCGTATTATTAGTATTGGACACAGCTTAACTGCCTGTACTTTTATACGGCTGTGGCCAAAAGTTTTGCATCCTACTAGAATGATAAGAATGAGACGTAACTTAAAAGAAAATATTATATAAACATAATATAGATCTTTTATTTAACATAATTTCCTCAAAGGTACTATGAAATGATCTTGCAAGAGTTCACTAGAAGCCATAATAGTAGTACTTTGTATTTGCAGTGCATTCCATGATTTTTTCAAGACTTCCTTAATCCTCTCAGGCATAGACTTAATGAAGCACTGAAGGGTCAAATTACCATATAGATTCCTCTTTTAAATGTAACATTATTTAGCAGTTTTGTTTGACTTTGTAAAGCTACATTAGAGTATGCTAGGGTGATGCCAAACGTTTGGCTGTAATTGTAGGTGTTATACTGGTATGACATTTTCGGATTTGTTCGACTCATCCAGACACAGTGTAAGCTAGCAATATGTGACTGTACTGTGATGTAGTTCATTTTCACAGGATATAGGGGCATACCCATACTATTTGTTTTTCATGTCCTTTTTCTCCACCATTTCCATAATTATTTCCAATACTATATATATTTGGCTGAGAACAAACTTCAGTCATTTAACAATGTAATGCCACTACTTGGCTTTTTTAGAGAGAAATATTCCATCAACAAGGTTATTAAATGATGTAGAACCAAAGAAACAACATTTCAAAGGAAGGAATTTTTGGTGGTTTCCATGGAAGCCAAGAAATCTTGAACAGCAATGCAAGTGAGACAGCAAGGGGCTCCAAAACCTCACTCCCAATCCAGTGTGTAGCATTAGTGCTTTTATCCACAGAGTGAAAGCTATAGATATGAAGAAGAACCCATTAACTGAAAATCTGTTATGATGAAGCTAGGCTTATATCTCAGTACCATTAAAGAGACAATAAACAAAGTTTGAAGTTGATGAAAGCTCATAAGCTTTTAGTCATTAGCTCAAAATCAACAGCTGTTTAAATGAGAAAGATGGCCAAAGAAACTGGAATCACAACAACCTCCTTCTAGCACATACTTATCAATTGCATTGTCACAGAAACTTTAAAAGTATAAATTACCTTTTCATTCTTAATTTCTTTAATATGATCCACAAAAATAATCTGCATGTAATCAGCAACATTAAAAAAATTAACCTGTAAAAAAAATTATTTAAATTGTAAATTTTATATTGAGCTTTGAGCTTGCATAGAACAAAGTTTCTGTATGTATTGACCAATTCAGCAAACTTTTCATGAAGGAATTTTTGTAATTTGAGTTATGCGACATATTTGCTGGCGTACATTTATAGACATGTAATATGTAAAATACAAAAATTTGTTTTGTTTGAACACAAATGTACAGATACTGCTAAGACTCTTATATTGTCATGTGATCTTGGTAAAAGAAATTATTTATTTTTTTCGTTTTATTCACCAGAAAGTCCTATTATTTGAAAGGTTCCAAACCTAAGATTCATACTCCTTTTAAATTGGAATTGATTGGAAGGAAAACTCTTAATCCTGATCTACGACAGCTTAAGTTCAGAGTAACAGGTGAGGTTTCTCCTACTGTGTGGTGTACACATCGTAAAACTTGCTACATTTGTGTCACATAAATCATTTGATAATGCAAGATTTGATTAATTTATTTTACGTTATATATATGCTGTATTTGTGATCAAAACTACAAAGATCAGGTGAAATTTGAGTAAATATGCACATTTTTTATTTAAATTTTGGGTATACAAATGTATGGAAGTAAAATGTGTCAGTTGTGTGTCTTTCAACAGTCTGCAGATAAGGCTTTCCAATAACAGCTTTTAGAAATATATTCTGCCATTGTAGTATTATTGTATTATCCTGTTTAATATAAGATGCTATGTATGTATTTCACTAGAGAATAAATGTGCAGAAAAAAGTTTATATTATTAACATCTTTTATAAAATGGCATTTAGAACAAACTCTTTATGAAGCTTTGAGGATTAAATTAAGGATGTCAACATAAATGTGATAATCACTAAACTTTATTAATGTTTGATAAAGAGCTTTTAATAAAGCTTCACCTTATTTAAAGTATTTTATTCAGTGATCATTTTCTAAATGTTTGTTCTCTAGTTTTAATCACTTAAGTGGTTTGTAATTTATATATGTATGTGTGTGTGTCAGTACATCTGTATTTCTAATATTTTTCTCATCCACACTAATTGGAGTTCTAGATTATATAACAATGTAAAGGCTTTGAATTTTATTCCATTAATAATAAAATATGTAGCATAGTGAAAGTTAAATACTTTAACACCAATGCAACATAATGTCTTGTCAAATGTTAAATTCTAGGACTATTTTTACAATAACACATTGTTGCTGTGTCTGAAGCTCATTCATGTAAGAGATGAATGATTGTAATTTCTTTATTTAGTTTTTTTCTTTGTAAGAGGAACAAAAAATTTGTATTTTTTGGTCTTAGGTCCAACTCATATGGCCATCATCCTGTGTCCAGTTGAGAAAGTTATTCTTCTGCGTTGGTCACTCACATACAGTCTTCCTCATCCTGGGGTTGTGACCTGGAAAAAACGACCCGTGTACTTCATATACTACTCTCATGGAGAAGCTACAACCCCATGGGAATTCTGGATAGACTTGGAGGTACATCTGTTTATTTAAATTTCTAAAAACTCTTGATACTACCAAAAATTGTCAATGCAATTTTTATGACAACTAGTGCTACAGGAAACATGTTTACATATATATTTGTTTCAAGGTGATTTCTGGACAATTCATAAACACATTGTTCCATGGATAAATTTATGGCTGAAATAAGAGTTATTTTCAAAAAAAGGATATTGTTAGATGAATTAGAGCCACAGGCCATAACATTTTGAAAAAGAAAACCTTCAATGCTCTCCATGATGTTGGAAAACATTCACAGCAGATTGCATAAGTTGTTAACAGTCTCTGAAATTATACCCCAAACCAATCTGGAATAGCACCCTCATCTGCAAAGTGATAGGAAAAAAGAATCCTGTCCTTTGGGATAAGTGCCAAAATATTTTATATATTTCCTGACATCCATTAAATAGGTAAAAGAACAAGGATTTAAAAAAATGCTTGCGTGTTAAACGTTCAAGCCATATCTCAAAATAAATGGTTGTTTTCATAAGAAAATTTTTGAAGAAATCGAGATCACAACAATACTGTTCAATCACATACTTATCAAGTTCTCCTAATGTAGTTCCATTGAATTTTTGTCTTTGATCTGCTTAAATCTTGTCTTGTAATTTGTGAAAAGCTCATCAAGATATTTCATCAGTCATGTGTGTAAAACTTGTTAGAATAAAAATTGTAATGTCTAGCAAGTGGCATGATCATGGTCTTTGGACTGAGCATGATCCACAGTGGAGGTAGGAGCTCTAAGAATGCCCAAATACCTGAAACAACTTTGTATAAACTACAATCATCCCTCAGTAATCATGTCTCTATATGCTTGATAAAGAGTTTCAATACTTTTGAAATTTCTGTTATCTTTCCTTAGATATGCTGTATTTAATGGTTAATGCTCAACTGTATAATAACGTTGATACTTTATTTATTTATTTTCCCAACGGCACAAAAAGATTTACTTTCTTTACATCCTGTAATTTTACTTGGCCTAGAAAAAGCCTTAATATATGTGTAAAATATAAAAGCATTGCCATTTTAATTTTCACTGAGACATCATGTGGTATATTTCAAAATTCACTCATGCAAAGTAGCAGTAGAAGTTAACTTTATTTTATATATTTGTTAGTCAACCAACTTCCATTTAAAATGAAAAACCTGGGCTGTTTTTTTTTTCTGATTAAGAATTCATCTCTGGATAAAAGCATAACTTAAAAACGAAAGACAGTAAATTAAACTATGATCTGAAAAGTGCCAAGACATTTACATGCAAACTGACTATAATTAAATAATAACTGCATATTGAAGAAAATAAATAACATAGTAGCTTGTTGAAATGCTCAAAGGCTATTTCAGTTTTAAATAATTGAAATCACTTTATTATTTAGTTTCAAAATAAGTATGATGGAACAAAATAAGTCATAAATTTTATTAAACTAATATTTAAGATGACTTTTGGATCTACTGTTTAAAACAAAGTAAAGTGAAGTAGGTTATATTTAAGTTTTCATTGTTTTGTGAAGTAGGTTATATTAAGTTTTCATTGTTTTGTGAAGTAGGTTATATTTAAGTTTTCATTGTTTTGTGTAGCTATGTACAGAAATTGTGAAACAAACTGTTATGTATTCTAGTTATCAAACACAATCAAAATCATGCATCACTGCCTTTAGTATTCTTGATAAAAAGATTGAGACATGTAGTTTGTAAAAAATGCTTTATGTAATTTATTGCATAGGCTTATTGTATAAGATGATAGGCTAAAATTAAAAGAAAAAATAATAACATAAAATATAAAAAGATGTTTACAACATTACAATAAGTAACTCAAGTCTATTTTAGTCTGTGCATTTGTAACAAATATTTTAATTACTTTAATTCTGAAATGATATCAACAGAAAAGTGTTTAATTTGTTCGTGTAAATCAGTGCCAGTTGCAGTTTACATATATAATTAACTGTTCTTAAAATTTGCTTGCATATGGGTTTTGTTTGTTAAATTTTGAACAAAGCTGCTTGAAGATTATCTGTGCTAGCTCACCTTAGTTTTGAAGTGATAGACTAAAGGAAAGGCAGCTAGTCAACACTACCCACTGCCAACGTTTTGGGTACTCTCTACTAGTGAACAGTGGGGTTGGTGGTCACAATAATGTCCCCATGACTAAAAGGGCAAACATGTTCGGTGGTGGGGTTTGATCCTGCAACCTGCAGATTGAGAGTTGAGTGCATTAACCACCAGGCTATGTCAGGTCCTCCTTGTAAGCTAAACAGTATATGGTTTAAGGTTTGTGCACGTTACGTGTTCATCAGCTCAGTCATCAAAACCTGATCCATTTGAATATTTCATCAGTAGTCTATTTTATATTAACATAACATTAATTTCAGGCCTCAGGTTGTGAATGAGAAAGCTTTCTTTTGTTTAGAGGCTTTGTTAGTCATTGGCTCTTGCTAATATCTTAGATTTAGAATGGACAACATCAGACTCTCCTAGGGCATGTTCAAGTACACTGCTTTTAGTATTCCAAAAATGTAGTCAATTGTTGAGAAGAGTGTATTAGTATTTCTAAAAAAATATGATAATCATGTGAATATTTTAAAATAGATAAATTATAATTAGTGGCTACTATAGTTTCTGCTTCAGATTAATTTTCTACAAAAAGAGGTCATGGTCACCATCAAAATTTAATGCTACTTGTAGTTGATGAAAAGGACTGAGGAAAAACAGTGTTCTAGAGTTGGTCTTCTGTGTCTTTAAGTATAATCATATAGTGATTAGTATCTCATACTGAATTTCATTAATTTTTAAAATGTCAAACCAACCATGGTAAACTAAAACTATTAAGCTGGTGATTATAAGTTTTGAATGAGCAGTTAATGCATAACGTTGAAAACTAAAACATAAGAAATACATGTGATGATGCATCTGAAGAGCTTTTATAAATCTTTAGGTACCTTCAGATTTTACTTCAGACCAGCCTATAGTGGATATCATGTTTAATACCCATTATCTTCATGGATCAGACATGATTGGTGAAGATCTCCAAAAGCTGTTAAAAAAGATGCCACCATGGACCCATGTTACTGCTTGGACTTCAACACTCCAGAGTTATATTTTCTGAACCTCATCTTGAACTTTATTACCTAGGTCACTGCTGTGGGATTTAAAAACTTATGCCATTACAACAGAAGCTGCATAATATGACCCTTGTTTTAAAAATTAGGTTTGAAAAACTATGTATTTAATCAAGCTTCATTTCTTAACCTCTTTCCACTGACTTGTTTGATTTAAACAATAATTACAAAATTGGTATGCATGTAACCTAAAATTGAACAAATTAATTTATTAAAAAAGCAGACCATTGAAAAAAAAAAGATTTATATTTGTACCTCAATAACAATGTTTTTTGTATTCCTCATAGCTCATCTTCATTATTAAAAAAATAATGTTGCACATGCCCTACAACTTCTGACTTCACTATAACTTAATGTGCACTACAGACCCTTTTGTTTTTACAGTTTAGGTTAAAATTTAAATAACATTGTCCAACCACAGTTACATCTATGATCAAAAAATGGTGGTCCAATTAGGTACCAAGAATGAATTAACAATAAGCTTATGTACTGATAGATATTGTTTCTTTAACTGTCCTGCTACAGAAAAAGGCTTTGAAATGGGCAAGAAATATATTATTATTTATTTGTGGATTATTTATTATTTTCTTTATTTAGATATGATCCCAGATATAAATAATGTAATAACAGTATTGGAATTTTCAATTTTCGGAGATATAAAATTAAAAATTAAAGTGTTTTTGTTTTTATAAAAGTAATTGTTATAAGTATTAGAGTATAACTCAAGATCAGGAGAAACACTGTAGGTTATATTTCAGGATTCACAAGGTTATAAGTAGAGTAGAACAACAACATTGCAATCTTCTAGACCATGTTGAACTACCACTGCTTTTATTATTATCAAAATGTAGTCAGTTGTTGAGAACAGTGTATTATTATTTCTAAAAGAAATATAATAAACATGTGAATAGTTTAGAAAGATAAATTATAATTAGTGGCTACTATAGTTTCTGCTTTTGATTGAATTATGGTTAATTTACTACGTTTTTATATTTATGAGTAATTTTTATAAGTTTAAGATATAACCCTAGATGAGAAGAGAGACAGTTATATTTCAGGATTCACAAGGTTATACATTGAGTGGAACTAAGTGGTATTTGTTAGTGTGGTAGAAGTTAATAAACTCAATGCTAAACAATTATAATAGAGCAGGTTAATTCTCCATAATTCTTTGTTAATTCTTTTTTTGAGCAAGTTAAAGGATTTTTTAGAGATGTTGCATTAGGAATGAAGAACAAATGCATGTATAACTTTTCTCCAATCTTTTTTGTGTAGTATTAACTACATCAAACTACTAAATTTTGAAAAATTAGAAAGTTATGTTTAATTGAACAATTTGAAATGAGCTATCTTTTGTATGCATACTTACCTTTCAATCACTCTAGAGTTTTCACACAAGCTCAAAAAAAAAAGTGTGGTTTTAAAGTTGATTCATTTATTTTTATTTTTTCTCCAGGACTTAAAAAAATGGGGGGAGTGGATTTTATGCATCTAAGTTTTAGGCCTTTTTAACCATTGTAATTTATTCTTTTGAATCATTTCTTCACATTTTCTGCTATTTTTCATCTTTTGCATACCATCTTTATTGCCCTTCTTCATTCATCCCTTGCACTGAAAATTACTGTCACACCCGTGATTTATTTTTTTTCAAAATGAGCATAAACCCACTGTAGGGTAGGGCTACTATAGTTACTAATAATGTCATTCAAGATTACATGACTTTCACACTCCCTGCTCATTTCCACTGCCCAGTATTATAAAAAAGGAAGTCCTTCTCTTCAAATATCTCTCAAGCTATTGTGTTTTTTAAGCTGTAATTTAACTACATTTTCTATCCCACATGTTTTCGAAATGTCTTAAATTTTCTTAATTATGATGTAAATTTTTAGTTAAGGATAATGCATTCTCAGAAAACATATCCTTTTTCTTGTTTATGATATAAAGAAAAAAATATTGTTTTGTGGTTAATACCTCTTTTTTTTGTATTCACATTACTCTTGACTAGTTTAGAACATTTGATGGGTAGTCAAGATGAAAACAATAATTAAATGAAATTCATGTTATTATGCAGAAAATAGTTGCTGTAGTAATCACAGAGATCTTAATGAATGTGTTGAATACTGGAACGTCATAATTTTGGGTTAAAATTACTTTTAGAATAAAAAATTTACATTTTACAAGTATCAATAACTAATGGTATTATGTCTTTTTATCTCAATATGGGATAATTTATGATATGAAACAGATTATGTGGAATAGCATCTAAATGCAATAGATTATGTGTATTATCTTTAGTGAATTGCTGAACTTTTCAGTTCAATTATTGTATATTACATCTAGCTGTGCTAAGTTCTGTTAGATCTGAACAGGGACAGATATCAAAACATTGGGGGAATAATTTTTTTATCTGGAGTTTGGAAGTGTTTCTAATTACTATCAGAGTATTTCTTTGTTGTTTTTTTTCTATGTGCACTTGTAATTTTTATTTTTTTACAGGTTGTGATGATATTTGCTTTTCTGTGATTTTTTAAATCCGTAGTCAAGCTTTCAAACACTACCTCAGTTAATAACGTATCAAAGAGAATGTGTTGAATCACAATAGAGATACTAGTTTTCTTTGATGATTGTGGGTAGATATATTGACTGGCTGATCCAATTTTACTGAAAGTTTCTTTTGCTGTAGTTTGTTAGTTATGTATTAAAAATGAAACAAAATATTTGACTTTATTAAGTTCTGTAATGCCATAAATGTAGATATCTAGTCAAAATGATTGTGACTAGGTAGCTATCCTCATCTAGATGAAGTTGAACTAAGTCAGTGTTTCAGAACAAAATATTAAACTATTGTATAATATAAAATTACAGGTCTAAGTCTATTTTGATTCATAATTCCCTTCTACTATAACTGTTATCCCCTTTTTGAAATTGTTCGAAATCCATGCAATATGACCAGTAGAATGTATTGAAATCTAATTTCCTAACAACAAAGTTTTTTTGATACTGTTGATTGTGATTCCCTTTCATATAGACTAAAAAGTATACAATTATAGTAAAATTTTCTTGTGGTACTTCTTCATCAACATGTCTTAAAAAATGGCAACAAGTTCTGTATTGTATGACTATTCACAAATTGCTTCTTTTATTCTGATTCAAATGATATCTTAACCATTTTAATAACATACTCTTTGTTTTCTGCAAATGCCTTGATTTACTTTTGCACCAGCCATTAATTTTTTATTTCATCCCTAAGCTAAAATTTATCAGTTTTTCACTTCATTACTTTTAAAGTAGTAATTCATCAATTTGTGTAGAAATGTTCATTGAACAACAAAATACCAGAATGGTGCTGTTAGTTACTGTCATTTACCTGCTATTGTAGATGCTGCTATTAGTGACATATTTGTTGTTATTTAGGCTTTCCAATTTAATTCTCGTTTTTTAGTTCTTTAAGATCACTGTATATTTTATCTCTATATCTTAACAGCTGTTATGGTCAGGATAGTGTTGCTTCATATGGTTATTAGTCATATGAATTAAAACTTGTTGAAGACTCATGTACTTGTAATTACATCTATCATCATTAACTGTACTCAATCTGGACATTACAGTTTTCTAGATCTTTACCTTCACTATTATACAAATCTTCTTTATCTTAAAACTGTATCCCATTCAATACCTGAACTTATGTTGCACTTCTATTAAAGCTAAAACTAAACCCTTTTAACTAAACTTTTTAACATTATCATTTTGTTTTATTTTAAACATGCCTATCTGTAGTGTCGATGAATGCCCATTTTTAAGGGAACAGTTGGCTGGTTTTGAATGTGAGTTGTTGAAATTTATATAGATATATTAAATGGAAAGAAACACAGAAGGGTGCTTGACTTGATGCTACTTGAATATGGTTTACAGGTGATAAGCTGCAGGAATATGGATTTACCATTGGAATAGGAAAAATACAAAAGTACATATAACTGGTTAAACTTTTTTTGTATTTGTAAGAAAATTTCCTAAATAATGAAATAATTTCTTATTGGCGGCTTTGTAAACAGAACATTGGAATCTGAAATGACTGCATGTTTAACTGTTCACTTGTAGGTAATACATCCTCAAGTGCTAAAGTTATACAAGAGTGTTGAATATTTTTCATTTTATTCTAGCTTATGATGACAGCTATAAACTTTCAATGCATCCTAGCTGGCCTTATGAGCTCTGGTACTGGATGAAAGGCCTCATCAGCATTGGATATGGCAGATGTAGTATTGTTGACATATCATTACATATTCTTTGCTTTCACTAATAATTTCTTAGAATTTACTTGCTACTACACTATAACTGTTTTTGTTGTATTGTCATTACCTAAGTAATAAGAATCTGCATAACTTTCTAGTTCAGTGAACTTATGTCAAATGAAAAATACAGGTAGAATCTAAATAAGCATATGCAAATCTTTTAGGTTTGTCTTGTTGAAATTAAAAAACATATTTTACACTATGATATGAAAATAAGTTTTTTTATGATGAACTCCAACCAGTGGAGAACACTTAAACCTGTATGCTGAAAAACTGCTTTTATTGTGGGTTTTGAAAATTCACTTTCACAATAGATTTCTGAGGTATGTATAAAAAAAAAAAGTGCAACTGTGCTGTAATGTATCAAAATGAGATTACAGGTGAATAGTCATCTTTCATCAAATATTTTTCAGTGAATGTCATTAATGTATTGAGCTGTTTTGATTTCCATGATATTTATCAAAACCCTGAGAAAGCTAACTAGTATAACAGATCTAAGTGCCATATCCAAACAAGCTATAAAAATAGGATGAAACCTGTTGAACCAACCAAAATTAATGTATTATTTAAGTTACGATTAAGTTAAGTAGACAATTTGAGGCTTTATAAAAACGTGATAATTATTTTATAAAAATGTACTAATTTTGGTACCAGGTAATAGTTTGTTAATAATGCAAAATCATCATATTCATAGCCATAGTAATGGAAGACATTGCTGTTTTAAATATTAAGTTAAAATACTAGCTAAATGTAGAGTATTAGGATAGTCAAACTCAAATTGTTTAGTATGTAACATTTTCGCATTTTTTCGCAGCAAATTTCACTACTTCGATGTGCCAATCCATTTGAAATAACAGTTGTCTGTAACTGTGTAAGTTGTAACATTGTTTAATGAGTAAAATTTTTTGAGGTATCTAGTTTTCTGCATACTTTAAAATGTTATAATAAATTTATTAATATAAATACAGACTCATAGTTAAAAACAAAAGCTTGTTAATAATCAGCTTGAACTAGTCATTTATTTCCACTCCAGACTTACGGGCCCGGGATGACCAGGTGGTTAGGGCGCTCGACTCGTAATCTGAGGGTCGCGGGTTCGAATCCCCGTCACAACAATCATGTTCGTCCTTTCAGCCGTGGGGGCGTTATAAGTGTCGGTCAATCCCACTATTCGTTGGTAAAAGAGTAGCCTAAGAGTTGGCGGTAGTGGTG